CCACCACCTGCCACCCCCCACCACCATTGTCGTTGTCACCACCGCCACCACCTCTACCACGGTCATTGCCACCCACCATAATCAGCACTGTCTCCCATCAACACCACTGTCACCCACCACCTCTCACCCCCACTATAAAATCGATGTTTAAATTTTTTTATCTGTTCTCTATGGTCCCGTTTGGTAACAATTCTATTTTTCGTTTTTATTTTGATTTTTGGAGTAAACAAAAAAAAAACTCGTTTAATAACCGATTTTTTTTTTCTGTTAGCGTTTTGTAAACGAGAGGCGATTTTAAAAAAGGGAAAAAAGTTTAACGCGTGTTTGTTATTAATGAGGTCAAGGATTCGAACCTTATTTGCACCAAAAAAACACGTTTATTGGACACCTATATAAATAGCAATACTCAAACCCTAACCCCTCAAACCCGAGCTTCTCATCTTCATCGCCCCTCTTTGTCTCTCTCTCTAGCCTGTCCTCTTCGTCGCCGAGGGTCTTCATCGCGAGAGTTGTTCATCGCTAGACGCCTATCCTCTTCAACGAACACATTGTTAGCAATTTGAGATCTGATCTAGAAGACATTGGTTATCAACGAAGACATCCCACCAAGGTAAACCTGAGATCTGATCTAGAATATGGTTATAGGTTTGATCAAATCAGGGTTCTTCTTGCTGAATTTTTTTTTTTTTGCTCTCTAGTTGTTGATCTGCGCCTAATCTAATCTCCTATTTTTTTTTGGCTCTATAGCTACCATTTTTTTTTATATAAAGTTTGCAATTTTTTTTTCAGATTACCTCTATATTTGGGTCTAATGGACTTATAAAAACTTTTCTTTCATTTTTTGCTAACAAAAATCTAAAATTGATTCTGTTTTTTCATTTTTTTAAAAAACCAAAATTGTAAACATTTTCAAATGAGCCCTATGTTTGTGATTTTATTTTATATATAAATACAAATATGTTTATTGTTTATCATTTTTTATTACTCTGTGCCTTCAAACATATGCAATAACTAGTAATTCAATAATGGAACTCCTGCTATTGATTTTGTGCCACTAGAACAACTTGTAGTAGTATAATTGTAAATGCATGCCATTTATTTGCTAAAAGGAATTAGTTTGGGGATAGAAAAATATAATAATAATCTATGAAATAAAACAAAACGTCTAACTTGTGTAAAATATAATGCCGATACAGATTGTTTATATCTAACGATTTTTCTTATTACTTATATTTTAACTTCTTAACTATATATTAATAAGAAATGCCTTAAAGGATTATATGACCGCTCTCTAGATAGAGCTTTCCCCTCTCTTACAACTTCATGTGTTGCATCCCACATCAACTAGGGAGGAGGAGGAGTTGGGCTATTTATGTGGTGTGATCACCCTTAACTCTTAAGAGGCCTTTTCTGAGGGCAGAATCTTAGAGGAACAAAACCGTGAGTGTATGGGTGTCTAAAATGGACAATATATTGACAGTTGGGGCGGGTTGTTACAAGATATTTAAAGGGAATGAATTTAACCTGGTTGTTGTAAAATATTATTACACCAAATGATATTGTCGATTAAAAATTATGAATGAAGTTGGAATAGAAAAAAAATTAGAATTGATTCTGATGATACCAAGAAAGAATTTCAAGTCTGAGATCAGGAGTTGAGGTCAAAAAGGGAGCTCAGCTCAGGGAGTCTGAGCTTCGAGGTCCACACTTAGAAGTACCCCAACCTACACCCTAAAGTAAATAAGTAGAGGATAGTTGGCATTCACGAGGCATCCCCCAACGGTAACAAGCCCTAGTCTAGGCACAAAATTCTTAAACCACCAAAACCGTCGCCTGAAATCAAGCAAGACACCATGGGAGGAAGACGAAAATCTCGCCATATATCCTATGGAACTAAGAATTGAACTATAAATATTGTACAATGCCTCCAATACGAGGCAAGTAACTCTAATGGTATCAGAAACACTTTGTAAATCACACACACCATTAATACAGATCCAAAGAGCAAGAGACTCCATTTAAGAGTGAATTAGCCGAACTTTCGAGCTGGTGAACCACTATAATTTTACTATGTAAAGCGTCTCTTATTCCCCAAAGCCAACACACCAATTGCATGAACCCAGTAGCTTAGAGGCAACGGGGCGAACAAATCTATTCACCATCACTGCTCATCCACATTCATACACCATCAGATTCCAAAAAATTGAGTTTGATCTCGAGTTTTTTAGATTATATGGCAGGGGTGCCATAGTGTATGTTTGGAAGGCGATTCAAAAGGTATTATTGAAGCGATTAATTTATGGAAGAATGACCTGTCAGAGATCAGACACTTTGTAGACCAAATTCATATTATTGATGATTGAATCAATTCTTTGCCAAGACGTATGGGTAATCGAGCAGCACATATCCTAGCTAAATATGCTAGTTCTTGTTCTGAGTGTATTGTATGGCGAGATAAGGTATCAGATTTCTTGGCATCCATCCTAGAAGATAAGATTGCTATCTTTTATTAATGAATGAATTTTCGTTACATGTCCCAAAAAAAAAAAGTTATCACATGACCTAATTGTTAATTGAAATATTTTTTGAGAATAATTATTGAATTATAGTTATTTGATTGAGATTTCGCAATCACATCGAGGGTTGATCGACGATAATTACTTGTTTTTATTGACATAATATCGTAACAATGATATGAACTAATAATATTATTGTAACTACAACTATTAAATTTTTTCATTGAAAATATATCACTTGACACATCGTTAGATTAAAAAATTAAAGTAAGTTGTTAGGTCTTAATAGTATTCCTCAAATAGGATTGATATAAAAATGTAATATATACGCACGTCTTCGAGTAATTAAAATATAGGGGGTAATTATAAAATATCCCATTCAATTTTAGGACACGTTATGATCAGCTCTCTCTCTAGCTTCAGTTTAAGCAAATTACCCCCGCTCAAGTTCTCATTAGACTAAATTGACTAACTGAATGGATGGAAAATATAGAAGTCCTAAACTACCTTTCCAATCATTACATTTATAGTTACTTCTTTCCTTGTATACCTTGCCACCATTTTCACATATCCACCTCCACCGTCAGCAGCACCGTCCAACCTCCGCCTCGACCATAACCATAACCAAAAACTTATCACCATAAATGCAAATTCATTCTATCTCAACTAGTGATTGTGCATCACTGATTGAACAACCAATGTCACCCCCAAGTAAGGGTGTTAATCGAACTGAATTCGAGCCTAATAGTTTGACTATTTACATATAAATGAACAGGTTTATTTGACTATTTATACATAAATGAGCAGGTTTATTTGATTATTTACAAACTTATCTTGATTAAAATCCTTACCCCCAAGAGCACCAATGAGAAACACCAATGCCACCCCTTATACCAATTGACATCGTAGACACTACCCATTCATAAAAATATGAATCAACGACAATGAGAAAACTTTACAGATTCATTGAACCGGAACCGACGATGGTGCGAAGTAATGATGCCCAGTGATAATATCGACACCCACCAAGGCCACCTCCAAAATCCCAGCGCGACAAATAACCCCCTAATCAGTGTCTCAATCATCGCCAACCACCTTACCATCACCAGCCACCAAACCATCAAACAGGAAATCAAAAATATGAAAAAGATACCAACTCTGCCACAAAATACACCAACCATTACTGAGCACCATCACTACTGCAAATGGAGCACCATAACCAACATCGAATCTGCAATTCAACTAATGCGTCACCCAAACCCCAAGTAGAGATCCAATTCTACCCAATCTATAGTTCATTTCCATCAAAATTCGAAGCGAAGCTGTGCACGAACTCTAATCTTACTTAGACCTCTAATAGAATTTCGACGACGAGGAGAAAGTGTGTGCGTGCACTTTGTGTGTGTGCGCGCATTCGTGTTCGCTAGTGTATGGGAGGTAGGATAGTAGGTGAACAAGACGGTTTTGGGCTATGGGGTTGATGTTAGTTGAGCCGTTTACCATTGATGGTTGGATGGTGGGGTTATAGGCCAATGAAAGGTAAGCGAAGAGTTGCTGGTGAAGTATCTGAGTTGGTTGCTGGCTAAGCCTTTGAAGGTGGGGATGAAATATTTGTTGAACTTTTTAGCATTACTCACGTTGAGCAATGCTACATTGACTTAAAAAGTAGATTTAAAAACTAAACTTGATAATCTCAACTATTGATTTCACTGTGGGTCTCAACATTTATTGGGACTTACTACCTATTTAATGGTTGAGATTATCAAGTCTATTTTTTAAGTCCATCTAGTATTACTTTTTTGTTTTTGTTTTTGAAGAATAGAGATTAGAGGCTTTTTAGTTGAATTTCTAATAAATTGCAGGTCATATGGAAAATTTTTGTTAGTTTTGACGGTGGAGAGTTAACGGGCATGGGTGATTAAGATAATGTTCAAAGCATAAGGGGTAAATTGTTCAAGTTAAAACTTAAAGGATTTAATTGCAACATGACCATAAATTAAAGGGGGTATTTTATAATTAACCCTAAAATATAAGAATAAACCCACCAAAAAATTGTCGTTTTCTCCCGCTGCCCAGAACTCTTCTGTAACACTCTCTCTCTCTCTCTCTTACAGGCACATATGAAGATGGCATTTGATCGGTCCAAGCTAACCACTGTCTTCCTGTTTGCTTTTTGTTTACTCCTACCGTCAATCCAAGCAAAAGATGTCAAATACTGCGGTGAGTTCACTTTCTTTCTTCCCCCTCTGTTTTCCTCTGTTTGTTTGCAGAGAAAATGGAAGAAAATTTTGAAACCATACAAACTTTAATTTTTTTTCGCTTGTCATCAAATTAAATAAAGTTTTTTCTGTTACTTTGTACAAGCCCTAATTACGTGTAAAATTTTCTCTTGTAGCCACAAAAATTTAAATTTTGTTATCATCGAAAGGTTTTTGTTCAGTTATTTTCCGTCACTTTCTTGTTCACGAAGCAGAGATGAAGTAAAACGGTAGTTTTGAATTTTTTAATCAAAATCAATTTTATTTTCCCATATTGATTTTAAAATAGTATATAGTATATAGTTGCGTAATGTTGGGGTTTTGCCCTAGTTGGGAATGACATGCTGGTTTTGTTTTTCGCAGTAGATCAACTTGTTGGCTTTGTTTTAACTATTTCGTTGAATTTACATATAGTCACATGAGTCTATAACTTTATACAATTTCTTGGGTTTGTTGTGTGAGGAGCAGATAGGAAAGGTAGTTATGTTGTTAAGGTTGATGGTGTCGAGATATCGCCGGATCCGGTGGTGACAGGCAAGCCTGCCACCTTCAACATTTCAGCTTCCACTGGTAATCTCTCATATGCCATGATCTGAATTGGAGCCTTCAATAGTTATTTTTATTTAGTTCTCCTTTTTTTTTCATGTGTACTTGTATATTGAGAGTAGTTCTAATGGCAACATAATTTAGTATCCACTATGGGGTATCTGGTATGTATATTCATTTTCATGGAGTGAGAAATTGGACTACTTGATAAGTAGTAGTGGACCAACATGGGACTTTTTGGCATTGTTATGTTTTTGTGTTTTAAATTGATCTAATTCTGTTGAAGCTAAAATTGGTTCTGTCAATATCTTAGAATTTAAATTTTTTGTTTCCCTCTTTGTTATTCATTTTGTACTTAAAGAATTCAAAGATAGTATTTGTTCAATATATATCATAGATGATTCTTAGAAGGGAATCCTCAAATTACTTACTTAAAATCATATAGAAAATTGAAATCAATATTATTTTTGAGGTTCCAGGTAGGATTTTGGCTTTATTAGGCGTTGTTCAAGAATGCATCATCCATTTGAGTAAGAATTAGAAAAAGGAGATGTAGGGAAATAGGATAAGAGTAGATCATGTCGGTCGCAGATAATACAGTTTTTCTTGATGGTGTTACTGTGGAGAATCTTGAATATGAAGATATTATGAGAAATTTAAATTTCCTAACATAAAATCCATCTTCCAGTGAAGTGATATGGAAGCGCTCATACGTTCCATGGGAGATGAGTTGTCCTGTATAGTATGAGGTGATATGGCTAGCATTAGTGTTGCTTGTGGCATATACAGACTGTGTTGTTAGACTGAAACAAAGGATGTAGTCCAACATACACCATCATACTTGTGCAAACCAAAAAGTGTTACTCCTTCACGGGAGTGGGGAAAAATAATGCTGGTTTCCCTTGCAGAGAATATGACACTAAAACCAGATGGTAGATGATATTACGTTTACAAGTTGAGTGAAGACAATGAGAAATTAGTCTTGTGTCACTTGCTGTGCCTGATCTACAAGCTGCCGTCAAGGGGCACCCGCAGCTGGTTTGGACTTTAGAATTGCCATAGGGATTTGGAGATTTGATTTTGAGTGGCCTTTATATTTGGCACAACTTTTACCCAACCATAACTCCATTGGATGAGCATTGATTTGTAGTCCTTAACTTTGAATTATCAAGATACTTGGCCCTGAAACCAATTGTAACCTAAGGACACAATAAGAAGGTGCTAAACTAGATTACATCTAGATATAGCAAAACAACTTTGGAATTTAAACTACTATGTACTCACCGTACTTCTATTGATGGTGGCTTAACTTTGTTGTGATGTTATCCAAATTCATGTATGTTGTATTATGACTATTTTCCTTCGGTTTTGAAGATTCCACCTTAACCTATCGCTTGGGCATCAGTTTTTGAACTTTTAAATGCATTAGGATTAGGATGAAGTACTGTTTTACAGGCCCTCCAATTTTCTGTATTTCAGATCATCCAGGGGATTCTTCCTTAACCTCTTAAATACTGTTTTTTTTTTTTCATTTCTAGATCCTGAAAAAAAATTAGTAAATTTAAGCAGATCAACAAATGTTATGGGTATGATAGTTCCGCTTTATTTGCATGCCCTGAAAACTTTTAAAACCTAGTTTACTAGTTGAAACTAGTAGATTTATACATATGCTATAGTTTTGAGGAAATTATATGAACATTTCTTAATGTTGCTCTATTAGTATTGATAAATTTAATCATCATTGATATGAGTCTGTTATCTATATGCAGTCCACTCTTCCCGGCACCCTCAACTACCAGGAACCAAACTGATTAGTAGTTTTCAATTGACATACACAATCATGAAGTTTATATAAGGATTGAGAATTTAATTCATCATTTTAAAACATGAAGGAAAATTTTCATAAGCGAAGGGCATCTCATTCCATTCATAATGGCTGTCAACATAGCCTTTATTTGTCTATTTGGGAAATTTAAATTTCCTAGACAAAAGCATCGCATCGCATTCCATTCATGTTTGTTGTTGAATGTACTCTTTATTTATGCATTTGGTACATTTGATTTTCCCCAAACCAGATTGCATGTCAAACTTCAGTAATCAAATTTTGAAACATTAGTTATTTGGGGATGGATATTGTATCTGGTGGGGGTTCAATAGAAGTTTCAGAAGATTAAGCTGTTAGAGAATGCAGAATGTGTAGAAATGGAAATAATGTGTATTAACTCTCTCGACAGCACTGGCAGAGCTACTAAGGGACAAGGTCATGCCCACCCTCAAATTTTCTTTCTTAACATTGTTGATATGCATTCCAATTTTTTTTTTTAATATATTTACTTATGCTGACCCTATTATTTCTTATTATATCGCTTATTACATTCCCATATCCAAATGACTATTAACTTTTGGACATGTTTTGGATATGTGCAAGTTTTGGACAAATTAGGGCTATTATGTAATAAAATATAAGGTCACTTTTTAAGGATATAAAAAAGTGTCACCTCTCAATATCACAGATTTATTTGGATTTAAAAAGGACAAATATGTTTGTTAGATGATCAGAAACCAAAGCAGGTGTTCAAGAGAGATTGATGGTCATGCAACCTTCAATGACTGTGCCTGCGGTTGCCTTGATTCTTCTACCCTCCAGTGAGATGCGTCTTGCCAGTATTTGAGGTCTGAATATGCGGCTGCAAGACTACAACAGTAGGTAGATAGAGCATTTTTAGCTATGAATGTTGTGGACACTCATTGCGTAATTGAATGGATAATAATAAATGGATAACAGATGGCATGGTTATTTATATAGAGAAAGACATTTTCAATGACATTGATAATGAATTTATTGTGCAATGATTTAGAAGTGTGAAAACTCATTTTTTATCTTTGTTCCTTCTACATACTGTGTATATCAATTTTTGGATTTTTTTTTGCTTAAAAATTTTTAAATATCAACTATCATATAAATAAATATAGATGTATCATTATACTTATATCGGCGAATTTTTTTTGTCAAGGTGCCCACCCAGGATTTGTTTCCTGGCTTCGCAGGTCAGTTCTGTATATTTTTATACTTTGCTGCTTTACTTTATTATATAGCTGTGAGTGTTGATTAACTGATTCTGAGAAACAGTGAAGACAAGTTGCTTTGTCAGAACCTGTCCTCAAAACCTAGTACTCTCTTCTACCTCTGTCTGTTCATGAACTATTGCTAGCTGCGTCATTCAAAATATCGGTGCTAATTACCTTGGGACGATCCTTTTCCATTACTAAAAAAGTGATCCTTCATGCAGCTCAACCCATATCTGGTGGGGAATTGGCTATCGAGGTTTCTTATATGGGGATTCGAGTCCATAAAGAGACTCATGATCTTTGTGCGGGGAGGCCTTGCCCTATATCAGCTGGAAAGTTTGTTCTCTCTCACACCCAAACTCTACCAGTTTTTACTCCACCAGTAAGTCGCAAATACCTGGCTTTGTATTTGAAATCTCTTATGGTTAAAATTCTTCAGTGTTTATCCACAGCAGGTCATAATCTCTGTTTAACTTGTAATGTAAATGTATATCAAGCATGCCAACAAAAAAGGGGAGAAAACAATGGACCATCAAGGCTACCTACTAGCATACATGCTGTCACAGTAACGGAATAAATCAATATATGTTTGACTTCCTGGTTTTTTAAAGTATTTCTGCCTTGGATCTATTTAATTTTTGTTGTATCTTCACATTGTAATTGAATTGATAAGTTTGAAGAGAAAAGGCAAGAAATGTTGACATGGGAAATTGGGGGAAAAAGAAGACCCAAAGTGATGTAAATTTGTATAGTAAAAGAAGATTGGTAACTTGGGGTTTAATGGAGAACAATGTTTTTGTCATGTTAGAACATGATTCATTTAGACAACTGGAAATTGTTGGGACTATGTATCTTATTAATCACATAAGGCTCCAAATTAAAGATTAATGGGAAACATGTCTCTACTTATTGTTCAAGAGAAACCTGATAGTGCATTCATTCTATCATATCATTTCACCTTGAAAACACGCTCCTGCATGTGTAGCTGACTGCGTTTGTGGTGTGTACAGGGCACTTACACTCTTAAGATGATGATGGAGGATGAGAAAAAACGTCAGTTGACTTGCATTACCTTCAGCTTCAGCATTGGATTTGGATCATTGGTATCCTCTATTTGAGGATCCTGCAGAAGGTGAATCTGTCTCATAGTTCGTCTTGGGTTGGCTTGGTTTTGGTAAAAACACGAAGAAGAAACTCCCTTTTAGTAATGTGATGCTCGATCTCCTGGGTAATCCTTTTTAGTAATGTGATCATTCCATGAGGACATACCCTTGTAACAGCTTCTGTACGTTTCACCTTGCTAGGAGGTTAACAAAGTTTAAATGACTCTTTATATGAATAAGAGTGCATGTGCTTGTTAAAGGTAATCTCCGGAAGATGTATGTCAACTTGTATGTTTGCATTGGCAGTGTAGTAATGCAGGTTAGACCTGCACGACTTCACTGCACTGAGTCCACCAAATCTCAAACAATAGTAGTTTAACCCAATATCCATTAGTCAGTGGGCAACATGAAGCGACACGAAGGACACATATGACTCCCCTTCAACCACCTTATAATGCAATTTGCACGAAACATATGTGAACAAGGCATACGACTCACCAACGTTCCAATCATAAATTCATCCCGACATTATGGGACACAAGTACTCTGTCGAAACATCACAACTTTGGTGTTTCTCCACCTTTTAAGGCCTCAATTGACGACCCGTTGGCTGGTATTGATCTAAATGCCAAGGCTGCCTCAAACTGTAACGCCCATACAGACCTTGGCTAACCAATTGCTCTCTCATAATCTCCCTTGAAATTTGCGTTCAAATGTTTTTGCTCGTCGTACCAAGAAGTCCATGACTCGAATTCGTGGTATGGAATCCTTACAATTTTCCTGATTATCAATCCCAAAGGCAGTATCTTGCCCCTCAAGTTATACGATTTAGTGCTCATGCAACCAACAAACTCGAAAACAGTTGTGATCAAAGCATCCTTACCCTCCAACAAGGTGTTTGATGAGTTCCCATCAAATTTTTAGGTCCCAAAAATATTACTCTTGTTTATAATAATTCCGAACAAAACACACAAAGATATACTGCATTAAGAATGCTTCTTATTAGGTTTCTAATAAACCTATTCAAAGTATATTAAAACACTTCCAATTCGTTTCCTATCTGATTTGGGTGATTGAACAAGGTTATAATTGTATAAACCACTGGGCGGAAAGTGTTATATTCTCTGTTCCATCCACGTACCAAATAGAATATTGATTTCAATATAAACTTGAGATACGTAATTCCATCCAATCCACTCACATTAGAATTCTCTCAATTTTTCAATGGTTGAATTCCTGATAGTCTGTCATCCTACACATTCACCAATCATAATACACTCTTTATGGAACATATGTGAACAAGGTAGTCGGCTCAATTTGGCTTCAATACAAAACTCTTCTTGACAAATTGAACACAACTCACTCAAAACATCAGAGCAATCGAAATTCACTACCTCGAAGGCGTCAATAGACGATGACTCAGTAGTTGGAACTGACCTAAAAGCATAGGCTACCTCAGATTCTAACTCCATTAAAGACCTTGGTACACCGATTGCTCTTTGATATTGATAATACTTCTGGAAATCGACATTCAAACTTTTTTTTCATCATACCAACAAATCCATGCCTCGAATTCATAGCGTGGTATCTTGACATTTTTTTTGATCTCCAGTTCCAGAGGTACAATGCGCCCAGAATTGTATGACTTATCCCTCATGGAACAAAGAAAGTCCAAAACTCTCTCTATCAAAGCTTCCTCACCCTCTAACAAGGTATTTGATGAGTTCCCATCGAGTTCTCCTCCTCCCCGTTGGACTCTCTCCTTAATTGGAATGGCACGTCGTAAATCATTCCACATATCATCTCTCTTGACAATGAGTCACACGGCATACAATTTTTTTTCCATGTACAAAGGCCTCGGAAATGAGGATAACATTGAGTTCGATCAAGAACTGGGATAGAGGCAACTTTGGATCGTCCAGTAGGAGATGAATCAGCTGTATAGAGATTTGTATGTGGTAGTTGTCATGGGAGTTCAAGGGTGGCAGCCATGTCGGTGTCTGCTGTGAGGAAGCTTGTGCAAAGTAGTTGTCGTAGGAGTTGGAGGGTGGCAGCCATGTGGGTGCCTGCATCTTGATTTCAGAGAGAGATAATTAATTGTGATGGTATGACTGTATATGAGAATCTTATGCTGGTGATTGACGTAGTGTGGGAGGGTGGAACTAGGATTGTATAAATCATTCAATTTTTGTGGGAAGTTTCCTTCAATCCTTCTCTCTATACATACTTACTTTACACGTTTTCATTAAACTAATGTGTATAGAAATTCAAGTGAACTGCTAGCTGTTATGTCCAATTGGAACAGGGGTTGTACATTTCAATTTGACAAGTTCCTTTTCGATTAGTATTTGTGTTTAAACTCGATTGGGACTTTGGGAGAAGTCCATCATACTAAAATGTAAACTTTGTTTTGATTGATTTGTAATAATTGATTATAAAAATATTAAATTAATATATACAAAAATTACACTTGTAAAAATGTCATTGGATAAAAAATAAAATTACAGTACCCAAAATGTTATCTTATTTTTTTGGTATTTGTACCGATCCTGGCTTTGGTTTTGTTTTTAATGTCTTGTATTATGTGCTTTTATTTTTTTTAATAGAAACGGTGTCTTATTCATAAGGAATATCATTGACATTACAAAATCTAGAGCTTTCTCCTATCATAAAATTGAACTCGAAACAAATCTTGCATGTTTTGCAAAACTAAATGCTACCCGATTGCCGATTCTACAAACTATGACTACTTCATAATGGCTAAAGCGTTGAAACTCATCTTTAAGACTGCCCAAATGCATCCCTGCTGGTTCCATCTGCGTCTCCATTGCCTTGACAGATTTCCAAAGTTTAACAGAATTCCCTTCCAGAGTAAAAGGCTATGACATCCACGTCCATTGTTAGCCCCCTTAAGTCAAGTTTCTTGGTAAGACCAGCCACAAAGAAACCATTATTGTCCATGATAACTATCCTAATTCCAAAAGCCGCATGTTCTTTTTTGGAACACATAGGTTATTACAAACACATCATTAAAGACATTTTGAAGTGCGAAATCCCGGAATAAATGATTGAATTAACCAGCAATTGACAAGAAATAAGACAAACTCATCAGTATCAAGGAAAAGATGTATGTCTCTTACCCATTGTTCTGGATTTAAACACGACTTGTGAATAACTGTGAAGAGAACTCAATTGCCAAGAAAGCTTAGCCCAATAACATTCCTGCAAAATATGAGAACTAGCCTCGACATCTCTTCGACACACACTACAGAGATTATGTGCTTTTGTAGTAGACAACTTGTTTGAGTTATGACAAAACACTCAAACTTTTTCCAAATAATTAATGTTAGTTCCTTTTCTTTTCATCGTTCTTTAACTTTTGCATGGACTATTGATTGCAAACATTTACATCTGCACAAAGGTTCATACTTTAAGATTTTTTTTTCAATTAATAGAACTACAGATATGCCAAAAATTACCAACTTATTTAAAAAAATCAAATTTATAAACTCAATATTATCGCTAGTCATAAATCCAAAAAAAATATCAATTAAGACGGTTCTCACAAAAAAAAAAAAAAAAAAAAAAGAACAAAAAGCTGCAAACGAATATCTTACTAATTCAATAATTTGATACCTTCAAATTAAACCTAAATATCATGTGTAATATTCCATACTCTAGAAGAACTGATACTAGACAAAAAAAAAACTACTATAAAATAAAGAAAACAATTTTACAAAGTCAAAAAGCTTTGACTAATTTTCCCCAGCAATCACAGAATATTCTCTCTTTTTTTTTTGGTGCAACACAGACAATTCGTTGATCATATCATTGAGAGTTGCCTCCTCCAATGCCTCAACCAGCAATCCAGAATCCATCTCAAAAACATCATCCAAACTTTTTTGCTCATCATATTTAGAAACACACCTCTCGAATTCTCTCTCCGGCACTATTATGTGCTTCTCCATATTCAAATTCACAGGCAATACATTGCGATTTTTGTTATATGGATCAGTCCTGATGCAGCATAGAAATTGTAGAAAAAACTCCACAATATCATGTTCATCGTTTAACATGGCCCTTGACATAACCTGGTGGAGTTGTTGTCCTTCCCAGTGGATTTTTTCCGGTGGGAATGGGATAGACACATGGGAAATCATGTTGAATATAACTTCTCTTGACCATTGTGTGGGTTCTCCGACTTTGGAAATCAGAAAATCACATACAATGGGGAATGTTTTGGACATAGAAAGGCCTCGAAGGCTGCGCGTTACGGCTCTATTTTCTGATAAGAAATCGACAGAAAGGTTGAGTTTGATCGTGAACTCGGGCAATGGCGGTGAGGGATTGTCATGAAGCATATGATACTGCCGGGCTGATGATGGATTGTGGTCAGGCAGCATATGAGACTGTTGTGCGGTGACATATAGAGGGTGGTTATGGTGGGAGAAAGTTGCAGGAAGCCATGTTGGTGGTGCCATGGTTGATATGTTAGAGAGAGATGATAAGAGTTGAAAGAAGGTAATTGGAATACTGTGAGAGTCTGGGAAGATAGAAGGCAAGGTGTAAAGATATATATATATAAAGGTAGATATGCAACAATAGGAATAGGATTTGTGGTTCCTAGTTTGATAAGTTTTTCTTGACAGAGAAGGTTTGGAATTCTTTAGGAAGTAGGCGAAATCTAAGAATGTACTTATGATTAATGTAATTGACACCTACTAGGATTCTATCTCTTTATATACTTTCTTCATTCTTTTTGCCGTATTTAAGTACCAAAAATTATTCGGACTCATTAAAAATAGATAAAAAAGATAAGATTAAATAAGGTATTAAAACAATATGTAATTAGATAAGATTAAATAAGGTATTAAAACAATATATAATTTTATCTACTATTTGACAATACACAACATAAGCGTTAGATAATAAATATTCAATCCAATCAGTTATTTGGTTAGGACATTATTTTATCGTATTAATGTTAAATTAATAAAAATACCCTTAATCAATGCATTGAAAATGTATGTTAAGTTGATGATAGTTGGTTTTATTAGTTGTAAGATTATAATAATAANTCAATCAATGCATTGGAAATGTATGTTAAGTTGATGATAGTTGGTTTTATTAGTTGTAAGATTATAATAATAAATAAAAAAATTTGGAGGTCAGTTCCTTTGTAGACTTATTTGGTAATAAGTCCATCAATGAAACTTATTTAATATTAAGTCCATTTTGGTTTTCATTGTCCAAAACACCCTTAGTAATTATGTTTAATTAAAAAAAATTTAAAAACTATCAACTCCAAAATTTAGAAGTTTGACTAATATTAAAATTTTTTATCTCATATCTATCTATGCCCGTGCCTGAAGGCACAACGTAACAAACAAAAAAATCGCAAGCAAATATATGTGCATTAAGAGACTGTATACCATAAAAAATTATCAATTAGAAAAAATAAACAAACATTGATAAATATAATATGGGCCCATTATTTTTTTTAAAAAAATTGACAGAATATAAATCAAAACAATCTCAAACATTGTTCAATGACTGTTTAATTATTGATTGATATCCAAATAGTAGTAAATTCAAAAATCATTATGGTATGAACACAATCAAATAAATATAAGATAGAAACCAAGGAAGGGGGATCAAAAGATGAATTGCAGCAAAAAATATAATAAACAACATCAACAAAATCTAAATCAATTTAAAACTAATTTTTTAACACTCTACCAGATTAAATTACACTTGTTATCCTCATTGTATATTGATAGTTTAGAGAATGCTCGTTCCTCTAAATATAATATTTTTTTCTATTCTTTCAAACAATTATGGTTAAATTCTCTCTAAAAATAAGACGCTACAAAAATATGAAGATGTGAAAACCTTATCAAGTAAAGATAATCTTCATATATCATATTTAAACATATTCGTGGAGAGATAACACGTAATCAATGAAAACTGGTCTTCATCAAATTTCCATGATTAGATCCAGCTACGCTAACGTTATCAAATTGAGAAACTGAATACATAAAATTTGAGTCCCATAAAGAATTCAAGCAAAATCCTCTAAAAACACAACTATACATACTATTACCACTAATACCACTATTGTCATTATTACCACTTAACCTACATTTTGATAACTAACCAATTTTTGTACTCAAATTAAAATTAAATCTAACCAAGTCAACTTGTGACACCCCAAATTCATGGGGTCCGTTAATTTCTCATCAACCCATGGAATGCCCGTGGATACCGTATAACTCGATATCACACCGTTGTGTCCCATTTACCAGGATCCATAATTTAACGAAATCCGAGCAGAGTCTCCTTTGTATAGGAAGCTCTACCCCAAAACACAATCTGTGCAATCAACATTTACATGACACATCCGAGGTCCAATATAATACCATAACCACACAGGGTCCATTTTATACGTAAAACTTGACCACACCGGGTCCAATCATCATATTTATATCAAAATATGCAAGGTTATATTAAAACAGTCCATATATACTCTATTACAATTCCTTTACACATTACATGCCAAAATTTAATTACAAATCTACTTTTACAAAAAAAA